TATTACAGAACTTCAGGGGCAACAGATGGACAAGGTTGGATCTGATGAGCATGAGGTCCCCCCACTAAATTGCTTATTATCTTTAGTCTCAGCCCTGAAGTCTAATGAAACAAAGTCCCTCCTCTCATCTAGTCTACCAGAGGCTTCAGAAAATAAAGCAGGATTATAGGATGGAAGGTACCACGGGAATACTCAGCAGACATGAAAATATCTCCAGTAATTTCTGTTTTGCTATTAATTTATGCTTATGGAAATAATTTAAAATGCAAGCATTTAATGAATAAGAAAAATAATCAGCTTCAGCAAGTGATCTAATATGACATTAAAAATAGATCACAGTGCTGGGAAACTTACAGACTCCTTCCTGCCCATAGTTTTGCTGTGGGAACGAGAACGGGAGATGGTACTGAAAAAGGAATCTTTCTTGGATGCAGACAAGGGAGGAGACCCCGTATAGTCACGTCCTCCAGACAAGCTCTCTATGCTTGGAGATGCGCTGACATTCTTCGAATGTTGGCCTGTAAAATAAGCATACAGTGGCAAAAAATTAACCATCAAACAATCACTCTATCCATCAGTTACCGTCTCTCAAGTGATGCTCATCGAGATACATCTACAGATCAACAGAGGATGAGATCTTGCCATGTGTGTGTCTGCATGCATTGTGTGATATGGAGAGAAATATGCTCTGACATACAGATCTCTATATATTTCTAATGAAAGACAATAGAAAAATAATTCTGAACCTGAATCAGCATAAGCAATATTTGGTGGTACTGTAGCAATTTGTTCAACTCAGTTCAAGAAAATTAATACACAATACTCAGCCTTATATAGGACTTGTTTGCATCACAGAGATGAACATGGAAAAGGATTTAATGTTTAATGAATCCAATACATTAAGTTGTAAAAAAATACTTTTACGATTCATTTTCTTCTCAAATTCCACTATTGTGACTTGTTATCCATAAATGTAGCTCAAATCCTAGAACTGAGTAAAGAGCCTCAAAGAAAGGAACCAACAGTTACTTGAACATGTACTTTAACTGATGCAATTGCACTTGCTTTTTCTTTGGCACAGGAAGCTTAACAGAGAAGAAGGCTGAGGGAGCTGATCTCTATAAACCAGCTCTGTCAAAGCCTCCCCTTCATAAATATTATAAAGCTATTTGTTCCACACTAATGAAGCACCAGAGGGCTGCTAACTAAATATAAAAAGAAAGTCAGTTTTTCTCTTTGATATTTTTCATCCTCAAAACCACTCACTTTCCATCACATGGAACAACGGTGCAGAAAAATGAACAAACTACAGAGAGGTAAAATGGAGAGGAGACTTACCACAGAGCAGATGGCAAGTGATAATTGCTCCTTTACTTACAGTTACCCCCATGGTAAGAGAAAACTGAACTGGGACAGTTTACTGAACAGGCCTAAGTTGCTCTGGTTTAGCTTCTACCTACCATGAAAGTTAAACATGGGCAGACTGATACTGTTCACTGCTTGGTGGTAAGTTTCTGCCCACATTTAACTGACTGTAGGCTACCTGTTTGTCCACATTTTCAGTATTTTAAGTTCCTTTGGTCTGCAAGTGTACTTTCCTATAGAAAATAAAATAAATTCACGACATGACTGAAGAAAGATTGAGCATGTAAGCTCCTAGATCTGCCCATGTTAATTGAACTTTGATAAGTAGATATCGCCCACCCCCCCACCCTC